CGGGGCGGGGCGCGGCGCGGCGGGCGCGCCCGCGGGTTAGGTTGCGCCGACGTGGGAAGGGGGACGCGCAGCCGGGAGCCGGGCGGGGCCGCCCGGGATTGTGGGAATGTGGCGGACTCGGCGGGCCGGCTCGGCGGCGCTCGGCTCCGCTCGGCCCCGCTCGGCCCCGCTCGGGTCCCTCGGCCCAGAGCCGAGAGGTGTGGACCCCGCCGCGGCAGTAGCGGGACCGGGGCACCTCGCGCTTCCCTCCCCCGGGAGGCGCTGGGGCATCAGCCCTCAAGGTCTCCGGGGAGGCGCCCTGGCATGGCCAGGCCGGAAATGAACCTTCCTCTTGTCCGTTAAGCATTAAGGGAACGCCTCCTGTATACCGGGCCGGAGTCCAGCATTAATGCAGCACCTGCTATATACCAGATGTGGCCCAGGCGTTAAGGAGTGAACTACCAGACACGGCAAAAGCCTTAGGGAGTGCCTACTGTAAACCCTGCATGGCCCAGGCATTAGTGCAGTGCCTGCTGTATTCCAGGCAGGGAACAAGCATTAATGAGGTGCCTACTTTATACCAAGCCCCGCTTTAAGCCCTTTAAACCAACCCTACTACCCGGCTGATTATATTGGAACGTCGCCAAGCCCTTCCCTGTGCACACGGAGCCCGAGGCTTTCACCCGGTACCCGCCCAGTCGTGCGGTTTCAACAGCCCTAAACCACTTGCCATCTGGCCTCGCACAGAAAGCGACGTAGAGCAAGGTTCAGACACAGAGAAGGTGCTCAATCAATGCGTTTTGAATGACGGAAAGAGAATAAGAGAGCCTGCAGGGTTCCTAGGACAGCAAACCCATTCTACAGACAAGGAAGCTGAGGCTCCCCTGGGCACTGTTCTCTGCTATGGCCCCTCTCCCAGCTCTGACGCCCCCCCCCCAACCTGGCGGTGCCCAGACCCCATCACACACCTTCCAGGCTGCACCTGCTGTTCTTACCTATCTTGAGATATGAGGTGAGAGGAGGGTCAAAGTCTCCATTTATTAGTTGAGTGGTGGTGTGGGGAGATTCGCTCCTTGAAGCTTCCATCTCTGGGGCTTGCATCTGCCCCTTGCTGGACACACAGCCAGGGTACGGGGGTGGGGGCGTGGGGCTCTCCCCACAAACAGAAGCTCCACGTGTTGAGGGCCGTTCCTAGTGACCAGCAGACCATGAGCTCCGAGAGGGCAGCGACTGTGGGGGTCCAGGTCATGAAGGGGTCCTCTGCCCCTCTGCAGCGACACTCCCGAGCACCAGGTCCTAGATGGAGGGGGGCGAGCAGAGCCCCTCACCCCTCATGCAAGTCCCACATGCGCAGGGGACTTTGTCCACCTCGTTCTCTGCGGGGTCCCCGGCCCTAACACGGCACCTGGCAAATACTCCGTATCTGTGCTCCATAAACATTTCTGAAGCCAGAGAAAGAGCCCAGCTGTCTTGCATGCTTCTCCTCTTTCTCTGGAAAAGAAGAAATCACTGTACTTTCTTCCCTGCTGTGCTCCTGGTCTTGCTGCTGTCGGCCTCCTCCTCGTCCAGGGCCTAAACCTCACCACGGACTCCTTTTGCCGCTTATGGTGGGTCAGTCTGTAGGTGGCCGGCTTACCTTCCCCGGGCCTGTGTCCCCACCTGCCAAGCGGGGCATAATATTAGCTCTTGCTGAGAGAGCCACGGTAAATAACCAAGGAGGAGATTCTTGAGTAGTAGAAGTTTAATGTTTGCTTCAATACATCAGTCCTAAGGGATGGTGGTAGAAAACCTCTAGAATGACCCGCAGGGAGACCTGCTTCCTGGTATTCATGGCCAACCCCTCTCCCCCCTACCCACCCAGCTAGGATGTGGATTGAATGTAGTGATTTACTTCTGATACGGACTATGAAAAATGACACTTCAACGATTGGGTGACCAACTATTTCTGGGTTCTGGGGGCGCCTGGGGGGTTCCGTCGGTGAAGCGTCTGCCTTTGGCTTAGGTCATGATCCCAGGGTCCTGGGATCGAGCCCCACATCGGGCTCCCTGCTCAGTGGGGACTCTGCTTCTCCCTCTGCCTGCCGCTCCCCCTGCTGGTACACTCTCTCTCTCTCCCTCTATCAAATAAATAATTAAGTAAAAATAAAATCTTGAAATTAAAAAAATAAAACAAAATTCTGGAAAAATGTGGATTTCACTACGGAAATCCACACTGACTAAAAGTAGGTTTGTGGTTGCCTGGGGATGGGAGTGGGGACGGGCAGGGGCACAAGGGAATGTTCTGGGGTGATGCAAGTGTTTTCCCCGTTTTGACTATGCCAGTCGACACAGGACGGAACCCCACTGACGGTGGCTCTTACACATGGGCAAATCATTGCACGTCAGTTACACATTTATAAAGCTGCAGAAACAAGAAATGTCTGAAGAGGTGGTACTTGGAGAGTACACAGTAGGTGCTTAATAGATGCTTACATGTTTACAAGAATCCCGAGGCAGGAGCAGGCAGAGTTGGGGCCACAGCCCCATGCCCAACATGGGCAGGGAGAGCTGTTGCATTTTCATCCACGCCACCCTCTCCCGCCTCAGCTCTGCCCTGGACACTGGGAGGAGGAAGTGGGAGAGGCGGCAGGGAGCAGATCCACGGGGGTTGGGGGGGCTTGAGGGGCTGGGGGGTGTCTCGTCCTTCTCATCCATTTGCTGCGTGCCTACCACGGGGCCGGGAGCTGGGCAGGCACCAGGAAGGCCCCAATGGGTAAGATATGGAAACTGAGGTCTGCGGAGAGATGGTGAACCGGCACCCGGGGGCCCAGCCAGTTGCTAAACGCTGACTTTGCCTTCCCCACCCAGAGGCCCAGGGAGACAAAGTCCGTGGCTGCCGCACCTTGATGGCTGGGAGGCCCTGCCTTCCTGGCTCCCTGCAGCCTCCTGGCCTCCTCTGTCCTTGGAAGTTGGCCTCCCATGCCTTGAGGAGTTCAATTTTATGAGGGGGCCAGAGGCTGGGGAGCAGGCCGTCTCCTGGCACAGAGCAAAGGTGAGGGGGCCCAGGCGGGGGCAGGCAGTTTGCCGGGGCCCCTCAGGGTCACTGTGCCAGCCCTGGGATTGGGCGACAGGTGTCCCCGCATCCCAGTGCCTGACCTTCTTCAGGGCTCGATGCTGACTTTCTATGAAAGAAATCATCCGGATCACGTGGACACTTGGTATCTGAGGAGCCTGCGGGAGCCTCGTATCCTTGTCCTGCCGTGCCCTTGGCAACGTCCCCAGCCCACTATCATGGAGACTACTGCTTTGTTTACTTTTTCTTTTCTTTTTTTTTTTCCCCCAAAGATAATGCCTGAAATAAAGACTGAACTAAAGACCGAGGGGCACTACGTCTGTGTGGTGCTCCCAGCACGCAACCCTGGGCCGGGTCCGTCCGAGGCATGCAGGGCACCTGCACAGCTCCGTAAACCTGAGTTTGTGCTCTTTAACAAAGAAAGACATTCAGGGGCGCCTGGGGGGCTCAGTGGGTTAAGCCTCTGCCTTCGGCTCAGGTCATGATCCCGGGGTCCTGGGATCGAGCCCCACATCGGGCTCTCTGCTCAGCGGGGAGCCTGCTTCCTCCTCTCTCCCTGCCTGCTTCTCTGTGATCTCCGTCTGTCAAATAAATAAATAAAATCTTTAAGAAAAAGAAATAATAAAAAAAAAAAAAGAAAGACATTCAAGGGCCCAGGGGCATTTAGGAAAAAGCAAATTAAAACCACAGTGAGATGCCACCTCCCAGAAAGGCTAAGACGAAAAGTGCATGTTCTCCACTTTCTCTGGAGAAGAAAAAAACCCCTGCACTTTCTAAAAAGCTGAGACCATCGTAAGCGCCAACGAGAATAGGAGGGAACCGGAAATCCCATCAGCAGCGGGCAGAAGTGCAAGGTGGTAGAGCCACATGGGAAACGGCTGGGTAGGATCTAAAAAGGTGGACCCCTGACCTCCCAAGGGATCGAACTGGTTCATTCCTCGGTTTGCCAGCGACAGACATAAAAACATCAGTCCCTACAAAGATTTGCCCAAGGAACCTCAGGACAGTCCCACGTTAAGTGATCAGCAAATGAGAGTCAGACTGTCTGTCCCATCCCTGCAGGCTGTGGGACACTCGGGACGTGGCTGTCCTTCTCAGAGTCTGTTTCTTCTTCTGTTAACATTGTGGGGGGTGATAAGAATTTCCACCTACCAATAAGCACGTGAAAAGGAGCTCTGCCCCCTGTAAACACCCCATAAATGCTGGTTTGTGTGATTAAAAAAAAATGATAACCCCAATATCATTTGTTATCAGGACCTCACTGAGACACCATTCCACACCCCCGAGGAGAGCTATAATCAAAAAGACAGAGAGCGCCAAGTGCTGATGAGGACGTGGAGAAACTGAGTCCTTGTGCACCTGCTGGTGGGGCTGGAAAAAGGTGAGCTCACGGGGGTGGGGGAGGGACAATTTGGTCGATCTTCAGAAGGGGGAATGTGCGATTAGCATCCCACCAGCAACTCCGGTTCTAGGCATCTATCCGTGAGGATCGAAAGCAGTCGTGCAAACAGAATTGTGCACACGCATGTCCCCAACAATGCGATTCATAACGGCCCCAAGTGTCCATC